ACACATTGAGGATGATTGCCAGTCCCAAGCATCGTCTATTGGTTCTCTTTGTAAATTACAGGTGATCTGGCATTAACAGAGTAGCTACCGTGGGTGGTCAATCATGCTCATGCTCATGCTCAAACCTGTCAATATTCTTCTCAAATCGCCCTTGTAATATATTTCCTAGATATTCTTCGCGGAATTCTCTTGCAACTCTGTTCAGAATTAATTAGAAAATATTTTTAGAAATATAATGGAATTTGCCCTACAATTACTTTGGAACTATCCTAAAGTTTTCTTGAAATTATCTTCAGACATTTCTAGAAATTCTTCTAGAAAAGACATTTTTTTAGAATTTTCATTAGAAATGGATCAGAAATCCTTTAAGTCATAGTCGTCTGATCATCATCGAATTTTCTTCAGAACAGTCAACAAATTCAACTCTGTACTCGCCTTAAAATTCATCCGGGGCTTTTCTCACAATTACCTTGGAACTCTTGCGTCCAATTGACTTGTAGTTCCTATCCATCCTCCTTAGAGTTCTTTTCATAGCTGGTGTTATTATTAGAATTTCCTAGATTTTTTAAAGTCCTTCAGAGTGACTGTAGCTTGAAAATTGAGTCCAGTCTAAGCGTCTTGAATATTTTTCGAGAACCAGAATCTTATATTTTTCTCTAGCGAGGATGAATTTTACGCACTCTTCCTGGTTTTTCCCGAATTTACCATCTTCATGAATCGCTAGGCAGTCTGATTTTTTTTTTTAAATAAATACAGCAATTTTATCCACGACGCTAGCTAGGATCAAAAATCAAGTTGATCCGATGAAAATTGTGAAAGTTATGCGACGTACAAAAATATTCACTCATAGTGGACTAAACCCAACTTGAAACTTTAAACGCGATTATCTCGGAATCATATTTTCAAAACCAGTGCCAAAAATTTCTCGAAATGTATACATTCGATTCGTCCGATTCGTTTTGATTTCTGTTCAGTACTATTTTGTGCAGTCCACGATCGTTCAGATTTTGTCTATCATTTAATTTCGATTTTTTACAGCCGATCAAAGACAAATTTTAAGGATCAAAAATCGGCACTTCAACTTTGCAAGGCCGCCATTTTATCAAAAAAATTAAAAAAAAAAACCGAACGATCAAGGACTAGTTTAACACATGCTTAACGATTTGGCATGGTTTTTTTTTTTTTATTTCAGATGATTACATCACAAACCGCAGTTGGCACCGCAAACTCCACGGGGAGCAGCCGTGCGGGGCACCAGGACCTCGTTTTTACAGCATCGACTGATAAATGTACCATTTAATGTGTGTTCAATAAACGGCAGAAAACCGATTTTCAATATGTTGCGTCGTTTTCGAGAAAAAAAATCCAAACTTTCACTTTTTTTCGATCTTGCAAGTAGGCGTAACCCCTTAAACGAGTTGATGTGACATTATATACGATTTCATCTGTAATAACAAATTCAATTTGGAAAGTCTTAACATGCAATTCGATTTAATTTGTGATACAGTATGATGGAAAAATGATTCACCGTGTATAAGTCGGAAATTTGCATTCAATACGATTTAACTTTAACATAATGCGATGTATGCCATTCTTATATGCGATGTTGACTTAAATAGTAACAATTTACGACACTGTCTATACATTGTTATACGATTTCTGGTTGTCTGGGATCTTCATAAAATCCATGTCTTGGAATATTGATATGTTTAATTAGTCCCTTAAAGTATTTGAATGAATGATTTTCTATGTCCGCAATTCGAAATACTATTCATTTAAATCATTTATTTAAATTTATGGATTCAATCAATATCTTTAACCCAATTCTCATTATACAATATTTGGGTATATTGCCCAGGTAACCCAATAATGTCCGATCTAATGACCTTCGAAAAACTAACGATACTATTACGATTGACAGGACCATCTGTATACCGAGATTTAGGGTTATTCCAACATGTAGGTACTAGACCACTAAAGGGATTGAGAAAACACTATCGACAAACTGAGAAAAGTAATCAGATATTTGTTGAAGCTTTATTGTATTTACACCACTCCCTTCTCACCATACGCTGCTCTACATCGATTCCTACATTCCGTGGCTCAAGATTCCTCCGGTCTGACATATTGTCACTATGCTATGGCTCCAGCAAAGGGGGTAACATTCTATTCCTCTTCTTCTGTTTGGCTGGAACGCACCAACTGTATTTTTTCCCACCCAGTCCAGTTTTTGAATTTTTATACTGAGGCCAGGAAAGTCAAGAATGGATGCAGCCCGAGATCGAACCCACCGTCTCCAGCATTATACGCCATCTCTATACTAACAAGGCAACGAGAGAGCCCAGCATTCTTTTCATGATATGGAAATAAATTGTTCATATCCATCCCGAGACTTGGGCCAACATATATTTCTTTATATTGCACATTCCAGTAATTCTTCCAAAAGGCATTTCTTCTTTATTGCGTTAGTCTGTCAGGAGAATGTTTTTCATCATAGCCACCGAAGGCATTCCAAGCTATTTTCCCATGTAAATTATCACTCTGCAATGCACAATTTGTTTTGTTTCCTAAAACTCCCATTCCCGTAAGCCCTAAACTAATCAAACAAATATCTATCCAATGGGCAAACTTTCCCAGTCGACCCTTCCAAACTTTCAACCACCCTTTGGAATGGTTTTGATGCAAACTGCTCGATCAAACTTTGTTCCGAAAGATAATCTAATCCCTTGGCTTCATTTGCACAGTCGGAATCAGCGCTACTACTTCAGGAAGCACATCCGTTGAAGCGAAAGGCGGACTGGGTTGAATCAGGACCCAGGAAACCGGTGCTAAGTGAAAATTTTCTTATCGCTTAAACAATTTTCCACATCGGTGAGTATTTTGTTTGCCTTCACCAAAGACGACGACGACGACGACGACGACGATGACGGCGAGGATGGGCTTAGGCCGTCCAAAGGCAAACACAATCGGCTGGGTTGAGAATGGAAAAGTGTATGAGTAAGCAGAGTAAATCCGCTCATTGCCTTAGTAAATCGTTCGGATTGGGAAGCGACAGAGCCAGGGTGTGTACCTATGTGTGTATCGCCGTTCCTTCCCCAGCAAGTGAATATGTGCTACGAAAGTTGGAGAAAAGCAGAGGTTAGTCAGTGCTCGGTGGAAAGGATCAAGAATCTATTTAGCACGGATTGTTTTCAACTGATAACGAGTAGATTGATGAGCCGTTGTTTGTAGCTCTGTAGGGTAGCTTTCAATTGTGGGTAATTTTATCCGACTTATAATGAATTCAATTTGCCTCACAACTTATCATTTCATTATTTAGTCAGCTTGAGTACATGGTTGCTTGTCCAATTTGTCTTGAAACCGATTCTCTGGCGCATTGCAAGGAAATTCATCACATTTTGTCAGAACCTCTCCGATCACATGAATATAAATGAGCATCCATAACGTACAGAATGAAACCCTCCCAGTGACAGACATATTCAGAATCGAAACGATTCCTCATAGATACGGGATTAGTTGTTGGCAACGTACTGAAAGGGAAAGACATGCAGATATCTTTTCCGAACTACGGCAAACAGTTCGCTTCGATAAAGAATCCATTTTTCGCCTTTTTCGGTTTATCCTTTCTCCGAATTCACGTGGCGCTGTGTGATAAAGCAACCCATTCCTCCGCATATCACGTTCCTAGTAATAACGAATCAAAAGCGCCCACTTCTTTCCACCCTGCATCAAGCTAATTCCTTCCCTGTCCTCCCACACCTTCCCGTCAAAGCGGTGATAAATTGCTGGAAAATATTACAAATTAGGCTGCCATTCCATCATCATTTCGGTGGAAGCTTTTCTTTCTCTGTTCTCCACAACCTCTGCTCAACGTATGTTTGCGCTTCCTTCGGCCGGAAAGACCCGTGCGCCGTGCTTATTGCTTCGTTACTTCCATCATCATCATCAACGTCAACGGTTCGTGGTAGCCTCTAGATGGAAAACTAAACAACAATGCCTTGCCCAGCGAGCAGCGTTGCCAGGTAAGTCGAATTTTGACGCTGGACTACGTCTTTGTGGAAAATACTGGGGTGTAGATCCAAACATTGTGTGACCGAATAGTGTTTATTAATGGAGTTCAATTCCTATCTCACAATTTAATTACGATTTGATGTAAGATTCGTTTGGAATAAATATTATAATACTTTATCATTGTTAAACTATTGAAGTTTGATCAAAGTTTTTGGCCGTAATCAAACATTCACGTGCTTGCATGCTATGACTATCGAGAGAACAGAGAGAAACGAGCCGATAGCAAAGTTATTAACGAGCGTACCTGCACGTTTTGTTTTAGCTCGTCTATGGATGTTACGGTTGTCACATTGTTAGACGCCGTACACGGTCAATAAGACTGGAATGTAAATTTTCCGTTATTGGACTAAAAAAGTTTAAATTTTCGCTTTCAAAAGCAGCAAAAAATAAAAAAAAAATTAAAACAGTCAATACCGAATTTTCTAAACCTCCGATACCGATAAGCTTGAAAACAATCTGGCAATGCTGCCAGTGCCCAGTGACGGTTTGGCCGTTTCTCAGTAGAAACGTGATGAAATTCAACAAACGGAACAATGCTGCTTCATGGCGCGACCGTCGGGCCTGTTTTCAACCATGTTGCTTTTAATCTGCTGAAGTGATTCTTCAGAAAATGGACAGCCGGCTTGGTGGGTGGCTGCTGTTAATGGTTATTTTAAGCTGGAAGTAGATACTCAGTTATATAGTTTTAAGGGGGTAACTTCAGTTCTAAATTGAACAAAAGATTCCGGTACGCATTCAATTAATCTATATATAAAGATTTGGATTAAGTAACAGTTTCTAAACAATTACATTATGCAGGTAAAACATTATTTTGTTTATATTCTCTGAAATATATTTGTTTTAGTTTTTACTCAATACAGAGGAATATGTTATACACTACTTGGAAACACTATCAAATAACGCATTTCCATTTCAGTTTGAAGTATCAAAACCTAAATGTCTACCCTTCCGTCCAAGCTGTTCAACCTCTGCGGCCAGGCCGTCCAAACCGTCTCGAATCGTAGTCACCGATGTGGTTCAGATTGTTCATCTGGGCGTGGTACAACACCTTCTGCTTATCAACGTAGCTTGACATGTCGAGAAGAACTACCCTCGACGAACCACTTTCCGGCAATACGCGACGAACGCTGTGGGCCAAATCTTGCATTTCCGGGTTGACCGAAAGCGAAGACCTGACGTAGTTCGTTAGCTGTTCTGTGTCGTTTATGTCCGAATCAAACTTCTCCAACCGTACCAAGTTGGTAGTGCGGTGAGATCCACAGGATTTCCTCATTTTCTCCACAATTGCCTCCAGGATTTCCACTTCACGCTCGAGATCACCGTCGGAGTGAGTAAGTTTTTCGCTCTTGGCTGTACGACACAAATTTGTCACGGGATCTAACTCGCACTCGAATAGGACATTTTCATTGGGATACAATGCATTACCCTCATCGTCAAATTCCGAAGGAAAATCTGTTGCACCTTCTGGTTTCCCTGGGTGATGATCCGGTTTTACTGTAGGTTGTCCATAGCGAAGGTCAATATCTGGGACCTGAGATGTCGTTTCACAGTTGCACTTGTTGATGATCGAGTCTGAAATCAAATTTTACTCATTATTTCACCTCAGAATCCACATAATCAAGAAATCATTCCTTACCAGTGACCCACAGTCGCTGCAGATGCAGACGGGTAGCATTAGTGCTGTCTCCCAACAAAACGTGGTAGTACAATACGTCTCCCTTTTTGATGACAACTACCTCGTCTTCCACGATAAACTTCCCATAGGTAATCGTAGTGGAATTTTGGCAAACGTCGCAATGTGTTTCATTGGAACGCTTCGGATCCTGATTAATGTAGAGCTCAATTCCGAAAAATGTACTGTTCGGAGACGGTTGAACCATGGAAACCGTCAATCCCTTAGGTTCGTGAACTTCAAAGTTCACAAACGGTTCTTGGCGATGTCGATGGTGCCGTCCATGATGTCTTCCGTTATGTTGACCGCGATGACCACCTCCACGATGTCCAGAGACCAAACTCAGGACCAAAATACAACCAACGAATGCGATCAACTTAATGTTCATCTTGTGCGAACTGAATATTTTCACTGGTCACTACCGACTTCCAATCGAGAATAACTGTACGATCGTAGACCATCCGGCTTCCTTTTATACAAAGAACAGATTTTGGCTGTGCTATCAAAGTCTGACGTTTCGAATATAGTGAAAAGATCAATAGGTCAAAATGAGCAAGCGTGCCGTCTGTTGAACAGAAGAAGTAAATGATGAGTAAACACGATGCTACGTCACTGTTAGCATACGTGAGGTGAACCAACACGATTCGTCAGATCTGGTTGAAATGCGTATTGCAATCTTTGTTGTGACTTACGTTTTTCAACTATAGATGCCGCTGTCTTACTGAGCGGTGCTTTTCAAATAGATAATTGCATATTGGGATTCACCGGGAAAACTGCAAACGTTATCAGTTCCAAGAAGGAATGTCGCAATCCACTCATTCCAGCGCTCTGCGTAAGTAAACAAGCCGAGAAACAAGCATTACGTGGCAGGGAGCAATTATCGATTGATAATCGAAGATGACGAAGAGCTTCGCAGTGCCATTCGATGTCCTTAGGAAAGAAACGTGTATTCTGATGTTTGTAGATCGGAGATGATTCTATTTTTCGTAAACCGATAGTCATTTTGACTTCATGTTGTGAAATAGGTTTTATATTTCAAAAATGCACAATCGCACTCAGGATTTAAAATAATGACATGATACATTGCAGAGCGGTTCAGAAAGTGAAATTATCAATCAAGGGAACGATCATAAGGAACTGACCATAGATTACGTGGAAGGTATCGAGAGATTTTTACCCATTATATCAGCGTTTCTCAATAAATGGGTTGCATCCCACTGGTGGGGCCTCATAGCCTAACACAACGGAGAAATCGAGCATTACGTCCGTCTGAAATGACGTCTGAGACAAAGTTATTCAAGAAAGGAAAGTCTTTCTGGGAAAATAAAAATAGCAATTTACTGCTCAAATGGGACCAGTGACCCTTCGAGCATACAACCACAGACAAACAGACGTAACTCTTCATTGTGTATCTTCGTTCATGCATTTAACGGTTGATTTAAATATTATCAGTTCCGCGAACTACTCGCCGCAGCGCTGGCATCGGATCACTTTGACGTTTCTATATATTCTATAGAAATTTCATGCAATATTGTTTACGAGTTAGCGAGCAAGCTTGTTTTCCGCGAGAAGCCAGATAGATGTCGCTACTGAGGTTATATGTTTTGAGATACTATGTTTTCAAGAACAAGATTTTCAAAGAGTTACGTCTGTTTGTCTGTGATACAACGGTTAATTCACATTTTATTTATTTAAAGCAAGCACTGCAAAAAGGCCAAAGTGTAGAATATTTCCGTTAAACAAGAATTTAGATAAATGCAATATTTCAAAATTTATACAATTCATCAAAATAAATTCTCTCATTTTTCTAAGTCCACAATTTCAAACCCATTTTTAAATCCCATAATCCTGAAGATTTGTCATAGTTTGGAATCTTAAAAACTACTCGATACTTGAGGAGTTTTGTTTGTTTTTTTTTTGTCTGGGAATTTTCCTATGTCTGAATTGTCATGGAATCTATCGAAGGATTTCACTTCAAACTTCTGATAATTCACGTAGCATTATCTTAAAATTCTCGTGAAAATTCAAATTGATTTTTTCTTAGCATTTTCTAAGCGATCTCCTAAAACATCAATGGAATTATTTCATGAATTCTTCCCAGGAAATTCAAATTGTCCTTCGGAATTCTTATTGCATTAATTTTTGAGTTCTCTTTAAATGCTCCTCCGGGAAATTAATGACATCATTCGTCCAGTTCAAAATACCGTTTTCTACAACTCTTCAACAGAGCAATATATTATGATACTTTGAAATTATCTTCAGAATTCTTTTAATTTTCCTTAAAACTCACCTTGAATTCTCCACACAGTTCGTATTGATTTTTTCATAGCATTCCCTGAAATCCCGTGAAAACATGTTTCAAGCTCTTGTTTAATTTCTGCTCAGAATCTCCTTGGAATGCTCCCAGAATTTCCTTGAATTTCCCCTTGAAGTTAACTTGGAACTTTCTACCAGTGCGCAAAACATTAAGGTTCAATGAGTCATTTTCATATGAATATGAACAGCCATCCGCCTCATCATTCACTGCCTCGTTAGAGTCAGTCAGTAGCCTGCTGGGATGAGAGGTAATCACGCTTACCACTACACCACCGCTGTTGAATTTTGAATGATTGAGACTACATATTTTATGGCAACAGTTATCAAAGACCACGAATCCTTTTGGGCAAACAACTTAATTAGTATGAGCTCTATTATACATACAAAATTATGAAATTTTGTCACACGATAGATTTCTATTGTAAAAAGAGATTGGCAATTTCCAACGCCCGTTATAGATTATAAAAACCAGAAACCGTTCTGTTGTCTCCAGATGACTAATGAAAAACTCGTAGATTATTTCAATTTACTTCAGGACGAAAAATAATAAATTTTGAGCCGTCGGACGGTCCCCGATTCATGAGTTGATGGGTCGATAGGTAGGTTCCAGGTGTAGGAGCTGCCTCCCTGGCGTCGGTAGCATTGGTGCTCAGCACTGAAAACAATCCAAGGAGAAAAAAAAGAGCCGTCGGATGGTACCAGTACACGAGGCTTAGGAAGTTTTCTTTTTGGGCTCTTCTGGAACCAGTTCCGGGTACCCGGATGATGGTCAGATTCACCTTACGGTTCATGGTATGGTGTATTTTTACTTCTTGATGAAAAATCATAAATTTTAAGTCGTTGGAAGGTACCAGTACATGAGGTTTTGGAAGTGTCCATTTGTGCCCTATCGGAACCGGTGCCAGATATCCTAAATGGTCAAATTGAAAAAAAAAATATTGGACAGTGTATTATGTAAGGAACCTTTATCTTTCTTTTGAGGCCAATAGATCAAGAATTGGTTCAAAACTGGAGTTTTGGGAGCGAGCTGCAGTCTTTTTCTTTTTAGATCCTAATGATCAATGTGTCACTTTTTTGTAACGTCACTCCTAGAGGTCGCTTAAAGCTTCTTTTGACAGCAAAATGTTCATTTCAGAAAGCTAGGACAAGTGAGGAAATTTCAGGTCTCTATCAAATTTTGTTAAAAAGTTACAGCTTTGCTAAAGTGACGGCGGGTAAAAATAAAATACCCTAATGGAAGGTTAAACCTTCTTCTGTATCTTGGGGTCAATATGACCCCAGTCTATTATTGCAATCTTGATTTTTGATCACAACGATTCTTTTCTCTGACATTTTGGTATACTAAAGTTTTCTTGATATGCCTGCCTCTTAGTTGAAACATTTCTAATTTTATTTAATTCCCGTTTTGAAGGGTTATCGCAATGAACTTAAGCTTTATTTTGTAGATACACAAAGGGTTAATAATTGTGATTTTTTCACGTAGACTACGTCTTACGGGAAGATACTGGGGGTAAATCGAAAATCTAAAAGTGCGACCGCCACGAAAAAGTGTAAGATTTTGAACGCTTATAGCTTTGGCATTTATAGATGAAATTAAAATCCAAATACACCAATCGATGGGAAATACCTTTCGTAAGCTGGTGCAATAAACGCTTTTTTTAAATTTTTCATAAAAAACTGTTTTAGAAATGGACAAATAAAAAGTGATAATTTTATCACGGTTTTCATGAAATAAACGTTCTACCCAAACCCAGTCCTCATAATCATGTACAATTTGGTTGCACATCGTGCTGCTCGAATCTGAAAAGCTATAAAACAGCGCTGCTGATGTGCCTCAACTCATAATCAAACCAATCCCACCAAGGTGGTCATACTTTAAAATAGGCCTGATAGGACTAGGAACTGTAAATAATAATTAAAATCTCAAATGTACCAAAGTTGAAAAGACGAATCTGTGTCACTTAACAAATTCATACATGTAAACCACACAATCACAAGAAATAAAGATCATTTAAATGCAAAAAAATGCCTCAACTCATTTTCGCTTCGGACGGCGGGTAAACAGGTAGCAGCAGCAGCAGTAGCAGTAGCAGTAGCAGCCGTAGGAAGGCGGTTCCTGTCAAGCGCGCAGCGTTCGAGTTTTGCACCACGAACTATGCGCGTCGTTCCCGTCGAGATCACTGGCTGCTGGTAGCAGCGTCGCCTCGATGGCGCAAGCGCTCTTTGGCTGAATGATAACTACAAATCTCGATTACTTTTCGAAAGGACATATCAGCTTTTGTAAACAACGCATTTTATCGTCGGTTTGGCATAACTAATAGCTCGCCCCACATACTAACACCACTATATCAGGTAGGGGAAAATTTCCTCTATCTCATGGTAGTGTTAGCATGTCTGGGTGAGTTACCAGTTACGCCAAATCGACGATCAAATGCGTTGTTTACAAAAGCTGATACGTTCCTTCAAAAAAGTAATCGAGAAATACTTCGTGGGCTGTGTACCAATTGCCGAGTTTTTTATCGTGACATTTCGAAAGTTATTTTCAATGTTCGAAAATGCCGGAAATTGATCAGTTTTCAAACAGAGCTCAGCCACGGTTACCAAAATTTAACTTCTAGTCGGTCCGAAATAACCACGCTCGTATAGCAGAGTTATTCGATAAATCATCTGTCACTTTTAACCACGAGATACATTTAACTCGCCCATTGCGACACAGCCCTGGAAGTAAAATTAGGGCCATCCATAAATTACGTATATTTTTATGATCAATTAACCCCCCTTCCCCCTCGGAGCGTGTTTTGCAAAACACCTAATACATGGCCGGTCCCAACTTCTGAAACCCCTCTCCTCCCTCAACTACTACGTTATTTATGAAAGTTCCCTAATCATTGGGCAACACTGAAAGACAGCAGCACACACCAAACAAAATGGGTTGGACAATTGGGTATTGATCATCAATATTTCGCGATCAGAACATTTTAGCTTGAAATCCCTCCATTTAATTATCGGTACATCTTTAATCTATTGATTGAATTAAAAAAATTCTTAATATGGTTTTTTAAGATTTCGTGTGTTTTGTGATCGCATATTCATTATTTTGCATAAGAAAACGGGAACGGGGTGTTTCTGTGGTGATAAGAAGGATTCTCCTGAACAGATTGAAGTTTTCTGTTCCAAGCACTGAAATTATCAGACGGTACCTCTATTTATGCTATGAAAGTCCCTCCCAGGCATGGAAAATCATTTGCATTCATTTCGTGCATTCATTTACATTTATTTGCCTCTAACTTATTTTTTCAACAGCATTCCGCAAAGTGATGTATGGAAATTTTGTAGGTTTTGTCATTATCTACAACTTTTGTTAACAAATCAAATCTGTATCTCTTATGCATGACGAAGCAGAGCGAACAGAAGCCACTACTGTTTTTCAGTGAATGTATTTTACATTCACTGAAAAACAGTAACAAGTTCTGCCCGCTCTAGTTCGTGATGTATAAGAGATACAGATTTGAGTTATGACCAAAACTTGTAGCTAATAACAAAACATACAAAATTTCTAGACATCATTTTGCGGAATGCTGTTGATGAAAAAAGTTAGAGGCAAATGAATGTAAATGAATGTATGAAATGAATGCAAATGATTTTCCAAGCCTGGTCCCTCCTACTTGGAAAATTATGCGGTTTATACAACCCCATTTTTTTTTTGCTGATTGGGGTGAGGCATAGCCAGCCGTTCGATTGCATAATTCTTCAAGTAGGAGGGACTTGCAATGCTTATCTCTTAGCATAAATAAAGGGTGAGATGGTCAAAATTTGGTCAATATCAACTTGACGTATTTCTTTCAATTTTGCATTTAAAAAACCTGAACACCCCTCATTTTGAAGGTGTGTGTGTGTACAATGTTGCTCCTATTTTGATTTTGGAATTCACTCTTCAGTTGTCAAAATGCCGTCCGAGCAAGAAGAGCAGCGTATCAAAATTTTGCTCGCGCATCGCGAAAATCCGAGCTACTCGCACGCAAAGTTGGCAAAATCGCTAAAAGTTGCCAAATCAACCGTTACAAATGTAATTAAAGTGTTTGGGGAACATTTGTCGACAGCCAGGAAGTCTGGATCAGGGGGAAATCGAAAACCGGAAGCCGCTGAGACGACAAAGAGAGTTGCCGGTAGTTTCAAACGAAACCCTAATCTCTCTCTCCGAGATGCCGCAAATAAGCTGGGTGTATCGTCTACAACCGTGCATCGAGCCAAAAAACGAGCCGGACTATCGACTTACAAGAAGGTAGTGACTCCAAATCGCGATGATAAACAAAATACGACGGCCAAAGCGCGATCCCGGAGGCTGTACACGACGATGCTGACGAAGTTTGACTGCGTGGTAATGGACGACGAAACCTACGTCAAAGCCGACTCTAAGCAGCTTCCGGGACAGGAGTTTTATACGGCAAAAGGAAGGGGAAAGGTAGCAGATGTTTTCAAGCACATGAAACTGTCAAAGTTCGCAAAGAAATATCTGGTTTGGCAAGCCATCTGTACCTGTGGCTTGAAAAGCAGCATTTTCATAGCTTCCGGGACTGTCAACCAAGAAATTTACGTGAAAGAGTGTTTGAATAAACGTCTGCAGCCTTTCCTGAAGAAACACGGTTGTTCCGTACTGTTTTGGCCGGATTTGGCATCTTGCCATTACGGTAAAAAGGCCATGGAGTGGTACGCCGCCAACAACGTGGAGGTGGTTCCCAAGGACAAGAACCCTCCCAACACGCCAGAGCTCCGCCCAATTGAGAAATACTGGGCTATTGTCAAGCGGAACCTAAAGAAGACCAAAAAAACAGCTAAGGGCGAGCAGCAGTTCAAGGCAAACTGGCTTTCTGCGGCGAAGAAGGTGGACAAGGTGGCTGTACAAAATCTGATGGCAGGGGTCAAGCGTAAGGCCCGGCAATTCGGATTTGGAAAAGCGGAAGCCTAACTGAATATTTTTCCTGAATTTTATACTAATTGAACTTGAAAAAGAAATTTAATTTGATTTTTTAAATAAACGATTTCACCGATTTACACGCGTTTTCCCTTGACCAAATTTTGACCGTATCACCCTTTAGAGGTACCGTCGAGTTTTTTTTCAGTGCTAGGTTCTGGAAAGTGAGCGTTCAAAAGGGCCTACCTGTAATGTTCGATTCTCTTCATCGATTTTGCTACAGCTAAGCAAAACAATTCAATCTGAACATTGCATTAGGTCCTAAGTAACACTGACAAGATTCTCTTCGTCGACTTTCTCCTTGAATCCACTCGGCTCAGGTATTTTCAGCACACATATCGATAAAAGAATTTTTTATCTCGCATCTAATACAACAAACACAACAAGAAAAGATTCTGTGCTCAAGTTATTAAGGCTGTGTTCCTTTTGGTGAATTTTTACTTAAATTTGACAGATGGAAACTTTTCAAATAAAAGTGCTTTCCAGCAGACTTCTTTCTGACAGACAAGGAATCAATTTTGATCCACGCTTTCTTGAAAATTGGCCGATCAACAACAGGGATTTTTGAACATCTTAATTTATTTTCGAAGTGTAAAATCTAAGTGAAAATTTTCCAAATGGAAAACAGCCTTAGTTTTTTTTTTTTTGTTCAATCGTTAGATAAAAGATGTACCGAGAACTTACTGGAGGGATTCATGGCGAATTGATATCCCGATCAGCTATGAAATGTTGCATAACATTGGTGCAAAATTGTGCACTCCGTTTAGCGTTTCGAAGTTGAATCGCTGAGGAAATCTTATTTCTGATCAATCACATTACCACATAAAAATTTCAAGAGTACAGATATCAGCTTTCACAAAACTTATAACAAAGAAACTGGAACTTCACGTTGGTTGCAGTCCAGTACACAAGGAGTTTCAATTTCATGGGTGATGTCACAACCGTCCAAGATTTGTGTCCTAGAAATCTTGAAGTGCTAGAGAATATCAGCCATCATGACGGTCATTGTTGGACGCTTCAATGAATCACCTGAAGAAAGCCTTACTCATATCTGATTGTTATTTAGGAACCAAATTTAATAGAATATGTATTCGCATTTTTATGAAGTCCTGAATTTAACCAAGTTTTACTAAGTAGGAAATCCAAAATATGTACATTGGACAGAAATTAGGTTACTTCTACTGTTTTTTTTTTTAAATCAATATCTAGAAAAACGCAAGAGAATTTCACTGCACAGCTTAACGTAGTCTACGTCAACCATGCGATCGTGTCTTGTACACAACCCCACCAATTTTTTTGAGAAGGTGATTTGCTTTAATCATTTTTTTTCCTCTGTTCGGGACCTAACACTACTGCGACCAGTAAATTGATCTATTGTAGTGCTTTAATCATTAGGATGAACGGATTTAGAAAACCCTTCACAAGCAACGAAGCATTTATAAAACGTCAAACGACCATTTTTTATCTAACGGGTGTTCAATAAAAAAAATTAAATTTTTTTCAGTCATATAGCTAGTAAAAAAAAAATTCAACGAATTCAGTATTTTATATTAAAAACATAATGTTTTTTCTTCAAAAAAAAACGTCAATGAACATTGGAGAAGGGGCCCTGGTCAGCCGTACGACGCAACTTAGTCGCGATGCTCTCACAAGAGATGGCACTGAAATCATTCTCATTTTTTATTGAACACCCGTTATTGTGCAATTATAGAAATTAAAACTGTAGATTTTTTAATTTGATAAAAGTGATCCTTGGAGTCTCGTGAAGATGATTTTAGGAGTATCAGACATTTGATATGTCTTCATGAAGCTGGAAATGCCTGCAAAAGTTCGGGTCCGCGGTGCAAAAGTCTGAGTCATGTCCCAAACACATTCACAAATATCTAAAACGATCTGGGATTTAACCCAGAGCCATTGGGGTGAGAAAGCAGTCACGCTTACCACTACACCACCGGTGCCAGCTCTTTATGTCCTTCACACTATCATGGGGTATTTAAAGATTTTTAGTCGCAAAACTTCTCAAAAGCTCCCATTACGTTGCGTCCAAAAGTTCATTTTGAACACTCTTCCGAAAAAAATAAAATCGTACAAACTACGAATGGACTGAAAACTCATCTCATGTGTATAAAATTAGCATGGAGTTTCAAGAAATTTTAACTTTTTTAACTAAGGTCGAACTTTTGCCCCACCTTACTACGAAACAGACTCTTGATGGAAGCAAATGACATATGTCGTGGAATAACATTGTGAACAATAGTGAGCAAAAGTTACTCCCTTGAGGAACTGTAGCAACTGAGCAGTTTGTAAAATAATTTGATAGCACTTTTTAAAAATTAAACAGTGCAAATTTTACAAACAAACAAAATAGACAGGATTGATTTCACTGATCAACTGGACCCCATTTTACGGTACCATCCCTCAACTAATAAATTCAGTTAATCTCGTGCCTTCTCGATTCCTCTGTTCCTTGTTTACAGGTTAGACATAAATGACCTCATCTATTGATAAAAATGTTTGTATACCATCACCCGGTAGATTGACTCTCATGGGCGCAAAGCAAACGACGATTCCACCAATCCACAGTAAATTTGCTCAGTTCGTTTTATTCATTCGATTCGTCCAGCTGGTCCCCGGAATGATGCTGCTAAGCACGATTGTTTTAATTTCTCTGTGCGTAACCTGTTCGCTGGCAGGAATTTGCCAAGATGTGTTTAAAAATCCAAACGACGATCGTCCCTTCTTCAAGGTGTTTGAATCGCAGGGAGTTGAGATCTACTATCCGAAACGCGATGCCAAGCAGGAAATGTTCGGTATAAAGATCTACAAAAATCAAGACCTACGCCGGAAAGACCTTCACTGTGACCTTTGCGTCAACACGACTCACGTCGAAGATGGTTGCTTCAAAATCAAGAGCACCTTGCTGGCTGTCGAACCGCGGGATGTACTTAAATATGTTACTATAGGCAAGTTCATCGGAAAAACCGACGTCAGCATTTCACCAGCCAACAAATCCGAATTCACAGGTAAGCCAAACCTAACATTAATCAGCTTATCAGCTTCCTGTGTTGATGATGGCATGCCTTCCATTCCCTTCACCGTACACAGATTACGTAATCCCGGCGGCGTGTGTCTGCAGTGATCCACCCGCTGGATATTGTGCCAAGGCGTCGAACAAAATCACCGATTACCGGCCGCTGTTCAAGTTTCACGAATCGTCCGGATTTGCCGCTTACCTCCCACGAGCACCATCGACCGCTGCGGTTGGCCTTCAGGCACTCAAGAATGCCAATTTCCGCCGCGGTGGCACAACCGAGCAGCAGCAGCAACAACTCGATTTGAATGTTGATTCGATCGGCGACCGGAACGGGTGCTTTGTGTTCGAGTTGTCAACGTTGCGGTTTGGCCAGGGGGATCATATCAATTTTGTTGTGACCGGAAAGAAAACCGGTGGCGAAAAGATTCGCACCGATCCGCGGAAGGCGTTTGTCAGGGGTGAGTTGATGAAGAGGGAGGGACAGCGGAAATGAACCCGATGGGATTAAATTATGGTTTTACAATGCGAAGATGGAGGGACTTGACTTTGATATATTAATACTCTGGAAGTTACTTTCCGTTCACTTTTAATTGCGATTGTGTTTCTTCTTGTCTTGCAGATTACTTTATTCCGCCGACATGTTCTTGCCCGACTAGTCAGTCGAACTTGGTTAAAGCACAAAAGAATACCAGAAACTGATATTTACAACAGCTTGTAGTGAATAGCGGTAAGATAGACTTAAATCAAACGAATAAAAGAGATGCATTCCGATCATTTTATCGACTTAAAAAATATATTAAAAAAAATGCTTGAATTGATGAAAAGCTTGCAAATAAGTATCAAACCCAAACCTGTTCAGATAATCGGATTAACGAGCTTTCTTCAACAATGTCCCATTTCAGCTTTTTGACGGAAAGACGTCGTGACCTCAACACTTTTGCAACATTCATCATTGATCAAGAAAGGAAAGCCCACAAGCTGTCAACTCTTTTATCACATTTCAAGCATCGGTTCTCGAGGAAAATTAGTCTTTATCATCTGCAATCACTTTCGCCGAAGGAGAATAAAGTAAATTTTAAGCTGTGGCTTTCGGAGTTTTTCATTGTATCATGGCAGAGGCAGAGGCAGCCCCGAAAGAGAGAGGGAGAGATATTAATTCCGTTTTTGATCGTGTCATTCCCTACCAAAAGATGTGACTCCAACATAAATGCCAAACCAATTTGATTGTGTCGGTAGTAAATCGAGTGAGTTCTTTCATCAGACTTCGGTGGTGGGGTTTATCTGTGATTGAATCTTCAACTCGTCTTAATATCAATGAATAGCATAATGGTAAAAAGTAAGTATTTTTTAATTGAATGAACATTGCAGATGGATGGTAATATGTATGTCAACAACTATGATGATAATTGAAAAGTCATTACGATGATGTCTCAAAGATAATCCAGATTATAACAGATGCTGTGGTGCAAATCTGGTTGGACAAACATAATATTTCAGTACAGGTGTAAATGATTCGCATATTTTAACATATTTTAAATATGTTTCATTTCATGTTAGTTTATTCACATCAGAGCTCAGCCTACACACCAAAATTTTGATTCAAGTTCCAGCAAAATGAATTGCTGAACTGATCCCAGCAAAACCACATTTCACCGACCATCCAGTAATTTGAGATATTTTGCTGGAATCTCAGTAAATTGTATTCGATCTGTCAAATTAAGCGTCAGTGCTAGAAAATTCAATTTCCCCCGTGTGTTTGATTCCCGACTGTAATATTCACAGTAAATTTGCTACATTCAAGCATCATTTTTTCTTTAAAATCATATTTACTTATACACCAACAAGTAGTGCAACATTTTTAACGTTTAATCCTAAAAAAAAATCATGCTGAAATTAAACGTCAGTGTGAACGTTTGTTTTTGTAGCCTGGATTGGGTTGAGGTTCGCATTGACAATAGCTCATGCTGTGGTGCGTGTTCATTTGCCTGAGTGCATGCGTGAACACAGAGTGAATGCTCATATAAATGCAAAAGCCTGGTTACTTACACATCAGTGCTATGCTTAAGACTATCGCACGAGTTGGAAGTGGCTCCTGGATTATAAACAAAATTCGGTATTAGATTTATGTTTGGAGTAATTATCGTGCGTGAGCACAAAGTAGCTACCTAATCAGCATTTTATTGTATAAATACTAGCTGAATGTGCTCGGCCTTGCTCGGGATTCAATATTAGCTTGAGGTTATGCGCCGGTTTAAAAAAAACATGCTATATTGTACGTAGCCCACCCCCTCCTCTTACCTAAGGGGCTACCCCCTATGACCATCTCCTTATTGCAAGGAATTCGTATGCCAACCCAAGTAACCATGGGCACGTTATTTCGCCTTTTTGACTGTATACAGCTGAACAACGGCATAAGAATCAGTTGAAAGAAACGTGAAAATCAATTCAATCAAACGTTCTCTTCGTCGACTAGCTGATGTTTCGGTTTGAGAACACATAATTTTACATGAAACGTTTGTTTACGTTCTCTGATTTACGTCTAATATGGATTACGTCTCGTGTAAAAGTAGTTATTTCTAATGTCGTTTTCGTTTTTGCGGTGTAGCACTGGTGTAGTGTAAGCAGGAATAAGTGCGAGTCTTTGACAGCTCAACACCATTTGTTTGTAAACAAAGGTGCATCCTATATCTACACCCTAAAATATTTCGGTGTACGGCAGTGTAGCACCGGTGTAGCTACACCGCAAAAACGAAAACGACATAAGTGTGTAGAAATAGCAAACAGTCAATCCTGTCGTCAAAACAAACTTCATGGCAAATGAAACTGCTCATATTTCAGTACCGTTTATTCAAATTTTAAATTTACTCATATATGAGTGACATTTACTCATATTCGAGTGAAACATTACTTATTATTTAAGTAACCTGCGTTTTTACGAATTTGAGTGAACGGGATTCAAATATGAGTCAGATTAATTTACCGACCAGGCCCTTCGAAAAACTATCAAGTCGAACAATGGCTAAGGGCCTAAGTAACATTGATCGGTTCTCTTCGTCGGCTTTCTCTTTCGTTACTAACTTGGCTAAAAATCCGTTTCTCGCCGTGTTTTCCGTATTACGGGATAGGACACGGAATGCTAAAGAAATTGCTTTTCTTTAGCATTTCTTGGCCCAGTACGCAGTTCAAAATAAACTTTCGACTCCCATTGGTAACTTCTTCTGGCTTCGCTCGAAAGGTTCATCCGTTTTCTCCCGCTAGTTTATTTCACTGATTTTACAGGTTTATTGCGGTTCCATTAGCTTCAGGAAAACTGCTGGAACTTTTAAAAAGTTATGAAACTTCAGAAAAGTCCAGACTTTTGAGTAAGTTTGAAAATCTGTATGGGTTAGCTCCGATAAAGTAAAGACAGTTTCAAATTCGAGAGCCTGGGAAATTTAATGGTTTTCCTGACAGTTCCAATTGTTTCAGGAGTATTGCGAAAACTTTAGGGATGCTCTGAGAACATCAGAACAGATTAATTAATTTCAAGGAAAATTCCGGAAATCTTAAAGGAGTTCCGGAAAATCCCGAGAATTTCCGAAAACTTCAGCAAAGTTCCGAGAGGTTCATGCACATTTTAGAAACGTAAGAGAAGTAACATGAACATTAGACAAATGTGAGAATATGGGCCATTAATTTCAAGAAAAATTTTAGAGCACTTAGGAAGTTCTGAAATCTGCAAGGCCTTCAAAGAAGATAAAAGATTCTACGTTAGTATCATTATAATCAGAGCCGTTCCGAGTTCATCAAGGATAATCAAAGAACTTCAAAACAGCCCCATTAACTTCAGGAAAATTGCAGGAACTTTCAATGAGTTCCAAAAATTATGGGATATTCCGAAATGCATTTCAGTTCCGAAAACTTCAGGGATATTGCAGGGTCTTCAGGGATGTTTTATGAATATCAGGAAAATTACTGGATAAAAAACTGGCTTCCGAATTTCTCCAGAAGTTTCTTCCTATCTACCTTAGGAAGTTTCTTCCAGCGCCTCCTGGAAGTTTCATCAGTCTTCTCCAGGAAATTCAATTGAACTTCTACCGAATGCGTCTAGAGAATTCGCCCAGAAGTTTATTTCGTCTTCTTTTGGAAATTTCTTCATTATACATTCTCCGTAGGTTTTTTTTTTTTTTTTGACTTTCAATGGAAGGTTTCTTTTTCTGAGCTTCTTCTAGCTTCCCCTGGAATTGGCTACTCCAGGAATTCTTTATTGTTTCAAATTTCTGAATCTTTTCTGGATTCCTCAGGATGTGTCATCCGATTTTTTTCCGAAAGTTAGTTCACATTTTCACCTGAAGTTTCTCAATATTCGTTTTAGACGACATACGGGATGTTTTTCCGACCTTTCTTAGAACTTTCTTTAAACTTCCTCCAGAAGAGCATCATAATACTTTCGCTGGAAGCTAATTAAAACATTCTCCGGAATATTTTTCCAACTTATCCTGGAAAGCTATTTTTCCGTTCTTAGTTCAAAAGTTTTAATTTTGATTTTCAAAAACGGCAATATAAAATTAATTAAAATATCCTGATGAATGTGGGCGTCTTAGTGGAATACCTGTATAATGAGAGAGAGAAGGATTAGTATGTTCCATTTAATTCCACTACTTTATTTGCTTATCCTTGACAGATACGCGTATTTCGTCTACAATGTGCAGACTTCTTCAGTGTCTTGTACTCAGTCAGTCGAGTATTAGTACAAGACACTGAAGAAGTCTGCACATTGTAGACGAAATACGCGTATCTGTCAAGGATAAGCAAATAAAGTAGTGGAATTAAATGGAAAATACTAATCCTTCTCTCTCTCTCATTATAATTAAAATAGTAAATACCGATATATACCGATTTTTAAACATTTAATATCGATAAGCTGGAAAACAATCTGGCAACGCTGGCGTCTATATCATTCAAGTTTACATTAAAGATCCCGTAAATATAGGTAAATTTATAAGAAATTTCATGAAATAATCCAAATACTGTTTGCGACCGTCCATCTTTGTAAGCAACATTTCTTTCAAAATGCTAGTTTATGTGAAAAAGAAGTTTACATGTATGAATGTTTACATCGACAGAAGATTCAAATTTTTTTTCTCTGTGTTTACAAAAATAAATCTATGCTGTAAACATTATTTAGAGCATCAAATCTAGCCGGCTTCAGTGGTGTAGTGATAAGTGTGACTGCTTTCTAACCTGAATGGGTCTAGGCTCAATCCCAGCCAAGCTCGGTAAGATTTTTATGAGGCATAAAAATCTCTGGTCACGTGTTCCTTCGGAAGGAAAGTAAAGCCGTTGGTCCCGGCTCATGTGCATTTAATGAGTGCGATATCCTACGCAGGTGTGCAAACTGCCTTCTTGCACATTCGATTGCCGTCAATGGAATGGCAATCGATGTCCGTCGGTGATTGGCACTAGATTGCGGAACAGAGACCGACGTTAAATAAAATAAAGAAAAAGAAGAAGCATCAAATATATACACACACACACACACTGCTTCGCATGGCGATGAACACTCGATGACTAAAATTCACCATCGCGTCGAGACGATATCTGAGCTGGGCCGGCCCAGACCGCCAGGGGACGCATGGGCTGGCGTTCAAATTTCCATTATCCTTTCAACCACACGACATGTCAGGGATGATTGAATCGCGTCATCAAAATAAATTGGGAGCACTTTTCTGATAAACTTTTCGCTTGACACGACACGCCTCCGAACTCCGGTTGACTTTTACGGCACAACCCGGCGCCCGCTGCTGCTCTCGGCTCAAAAGGCTGCTGCTTATAACGATGGTGGTGTTGATGAAATTGTATTCTGTTACATGTTCCATGACATTTTACGGCTTTAAGCGCTTGTTGTTTGCTTCTGTTGCGGACGGGCTGCTCTGGGATCAGCTGGGTTGTTAAATTCTAAGAACACGATATTATCGAATTCGAAACTTTAAATGAGTTTAAAAATGCAATTGAAGATGGATTGCTTTCCAAATGGCTTCAGCATTATTATGAGAATCGATTGCTTCG